CACTTATCTCATTATTCACACTTAGTCTTTTCCCTATGCTCCATAGTAATGACCACTTAGACAACTGTTGAAAACAGTAGGAAAGTAGTCCCTGTTTGTCAGTAGCTAATAATTGTTTATCATGCCTTCCTATACAGAGAGAAGATAGATATAGCATATCTGAAAAGTTCAAGAAAACAGATTACCATCATGTATTTGAATATCCGTATTTCTGTATTTGATACATATTTCATAGGTTTATATAAACACAGAATTATGCAGAAGTTTCTTTTCTTCTAAATGTAACTATCTACAAGTTCATAGATAAAAAACAATCTTAAATGCATGACCAAAGTGAATCTTTTCTATCAGCTATCAAATAATTGTGTAAATTTGTTCATTTGATACAACATAGCATGGACTTTGCATAAATTTTTAGAATATAATTTATTTATAAGAAGAGGTATTTCTGTATAAGAATTTCTCCTAAAGAATTGTTCAAATTATTATTTTTTATTATAATTATAGGTATTTTACTATAATTAGAAATGGATAATGCTCTTATTTGGGGGCACATTAGTTCCCAGAGGAACGTATCTCTAAAATCGTTGTATGGTCAGTGAAAATACAATGCATGCATTCATCCATTCTTCTGACAAGTATTTACTGAGCACCTACTATGCCCCAGCTACTCTTCTATACTCTAAAGATACAGCAGCCAACAAAACAAAACAAAAAAACAACTGCCCTCTTGGAGCTTATAACATTGCAGGAAATCATATTTTGGATAGTAAAAAACAATAAGGTTGAAAAATAGGTAGGAGAGGGGACAGGAATTGTTTGGGGGAGGCAGTGAAATTTTATGTTGGGTGGCCTGGAAATGACTCATTGAGAAGGTAACGTTGAGTAGTGAACTGACTGAATTGAAAGAGTGAGCCCTGGAGCTATCTAGGAGAACATTCCAAGCAAAGAGAATGGTAAGTGCAAAGGTTTTGAGGTGGATATATGACTGATCTTTTTAGGAAACAGAGTGAATGAGTGGAGAGAGTAGTAGGATAGGTGGTTAGAGTGGTAATAGTGTGTCTGGGGGTGAAATTCATTTCATATTAAGGACCTTGGTTTTTTGCCAGAAGTGAGATTGGAAGCCATTGGATGGGTTCGAGAAGGGGAGTGGTGCAGTCTGACCAAGGGTTTTATCTGGATCCATCACTAGTTTCTGTGTTGGAAACAGACTGAAATGGGCAATGGTGGAAGCAAGGGAGGCAGTTAGGAAGATTTCACAATAATCCGGGTAAGAGATCGTGGCTTGGATCAGAGTATTTGTGGAGGTGGAGCGACATGGTTGGATTTGCCTATATTGTTATGATATAGTTGATAGGATTTGCTGATAAAATTTCATTATACATCCAAGTTATAAGCCAGGTATTTAATTCATAAATTAAGGAATAATTCTTTCAACTATAGAAAAGTAGGGGAGATATTATATGAAGCAGAAGATTTAAATTTATCTTTTTTATACTATGAAAGGTACTTTATCAAGGTAGTTAAAATATTTGATGATGACTAAATAGTACTTCTATATATATATTTACATTTTATTAGCAAGATAATTAAAACCCAATCCCAATGTTTACTGAATTAATTTTTATCTGTTATAAAATATCTAGTTAAAAGCTTAATGTCTTACATCTAATATTTGTAGTTAAAATAAAATATATCCTAAAGCTTATTTGTTGGAAACAAAGCAGTCTACTGATTAACAGAAACTTGAAAAGACAGTAAAATATTTTTTAGAGATGAGCTGGTTGTATAAAGTTAAATGGGAGAAATATAGAAACTACTTTTATTCATTGTAGTGTCTAAATCACATGAAGAACTAGATAATTTTTTTCTGAGCTCTATCAGTAGGGGGCAGCAAAGTTTCAAGTAGTGTGTTTTCGGGTTCCTGGGAGGCTTTGCTAAGGAAAATTTCCTTTTTTTTTTTTTGTTTTTGTTGTTGTTGCCGTTGCTCTTAAGAAGTTTGTTCTGGCTTGCTTTTTAATGAAGTGCTTTGGTAATATCACTTAAAAGCGCTGTAGCTTTTGTTCAGATATTTAGCCAACTGTTCCCTTAGGCGCTATACATGCTTTCTTAATGAGAGTATGTATTTTTTTCTTTCTGTAATTTAGGGAGTACCAGGGCAAGGAAAATACGACATTAAAAGTCAATTTCAGAAGAATGAAACTATGTCATCAAACGTAAATCATGCATCACCTGCTTTTCTTTCTCAATCCCGGGTAATGTTCTACAGTTATTTCACATTTAGTGTATAATAGGTATAATGCAATGCCAGCAACAAATCCAGTGGTGTTACGGAGATTATAAAAAGAAATGGTATTTAAGCAAATTAGGAATAGATGCAGCCTGGGCAAATCATTTTGCCAGAAATGTGGGTAAAAGGAAATGACTTAAGATTACACTATTAACAATAATATGCAGAGATGAATATTCAAATTGAAATTATTTATTAAACGTTGTCTGCTAAGCAAATTTGCTTACGTGGAAGTTCAGTTTAGCTTATAAGAGATTTTAGTCTGGGTTTTAAAATATACTAATGAATATGTGAAGTGTTGACGTGTAATCTATGAGGACATTCATATCTTTTGGAGAAGGTTCTGAAGGCTCTCTGGAGCCTAGCTGTAAATTATATCTAAAACTGCCACTGGGGCCTTTATTAGTGATGTGGGAGTCTATTTCACAGGAATCCTGTTCTCCAAGGTCTATATTGAGGGGACTTGAAGGTATCTAAGATATTCCTAAGGCAAGAACATTATAATACTAGCAAACCTTTATGTCACAGTGGCCAGATCAAGTCGTTGTGATATTTAACCAATTGTACTATGTAAAACTCAGATTATCTTATTTAACTTGGGAAGGTTATTAACCTTCAGATGACTACAGCGGGCTATTTTAGTTTCATTGTACTTAAGAGGCAACTCCTTGGAGACAAATAGATAGATTGCAGGTATATTTTGGAGACACGGTTAACGTGACTTTTAAATGGGTTAGATGTTGTGGTGAGGGACTAGGAAGAATCAGGAATGAACAGCAGGTTTCTGCCTTGAGCAACTTGATAGTACTTAAGGTACTACACAGAATGGATGTGAGGGAATGGGATATCGTGTGTGTGCCCTTGATTTTAAAAATACCATTTTTACAACTAGAACTCTCAGTTTTTATGCTATTCCTGTTCATCTGATATACAGTCCTAATGTGACATTACTTAGCACCAATTATAATATTTTAAATATATTTTCAGAAATGAAAAAGAATATGATATCAATTTTGCTTAAGAGGACCATGAAGAAAAGAATCATTGTTCTGGGGTGAAAGATATGGAGGAGTTAAAACCAACAGGACTGCCTGCTAGGGGTAGTGTTAGTGTTTAGCTGAATATGAATAGATTTATTAATGATTATGATTGAAAAAGCAATAATGAAATTAACAAGGTGGACTTAGAACACAATTTTTGATTTATAGGATTAAAGACATGTTATGTTATTGGGATACTTATTTTAGTCTTGACTTAAGGAGTTGTCTGGTATTTTATTTAAATGCATTGAATTTTCTTATGTCTTCAACTATTAATTTTTAAAACATAAGATTTCCTTTATAATAATGGTTCTCAACTCTTGCTGCATATTAGACTATTTGGGGAAATTTTAATACATTCTGATACGCAGTTGCTTTCTTTCCTCTCTCCCAGAGATTGATTCAACTGGTCCAGAATAGGACCCAGGCACCAATACTTTTTTTAACTCCTCAAGTAATTCTGTATGCAGCCAGGGTTGAGTATTACCATTTAAAAACATTGACTCAGCATTTAAATAATAAAATAGTATTTAAGAAGGCTTTGGAAATGTTCCTACATGAAAGGAGGCTAAAAGCAATATCTGAGCCTAGACTCGGTTATGTATTATAGGGGAAAAATGCAATAGAATTATAATTAGATCAACTGACAGATTTGGAATATGAATGGTACATTAGATAAAAGTCATATCATTGATACATTTAAGAAAATACATGTAAGAAAATATCCCTATTTTTAATAAATACACACTAAAGTATTTAGGGGTAAAGGGCCACAACACACATAACTTTCCATTAAATGGTTCTATATATATGCGTGTTGTGTGTGTGTGTGTGTGTGTGTGTGTGTATGTGTGTGTGTGTAGAGAGACAGAGAGAGGGAGGAATGGACATACAGAGAGAAAGACAGAAATAGAGTGGGCAAATGAAAACAGTGAATGGCATAACATGTTAGCAGGTGCATCTGGGTAATCATTGCACAGGTATTTTCTGCATTATTTTTATTCATAAATTTGAATGTTCCAAATTTTAAATTAATTCTAAATAAAAAACTTAAAAAAATAGATTATTCAATGCTATATTTCATAAGATTTCATAATTTACATATAGATACATGTATATTTAATATCAATCAGTCAAATATTATAAATTTATAATAAGTAAGCTTATTATAAGTTTATAAAATCATAACTTTAATATAAGTTAAAGTGGATTTATATACCACTTGAATCTAAGATTTTTTTCTTAAGGTAGCTAATGGTATCGTTGAGTTAATTGAATATATATGTTGAGGAACTTTGTCAATTTGTGTAATTTTATTACATAGAAGAAACCATGTTAGATCATGTAGTTTTTCTTTATTATCTTGCAGAATATTTTAAATATGAAGATTGTCCACACACTATCATCTGAATCTCATATTGAGATGATTTCCTTTGAAAAGTCTTTCTGGCTTAGCGAGGTACATAATGCATTACTGTATTAATGTATAGATGATTTTTCTAAAAGTGTATATTTTATGTTTTGATAGATATCTTTACTCATCTACATTTTCTTCACTCCATTAAGAAATAAACTCCAGATGTTATATTACTAAGAAAGCAGCTTTTAACTCACAAAATATCAAAACGTACCATAGTTTCTTACTGGCATATTTTCTTGTTCTTCACTAGAGGTTTTTCCCTATGAAATCAATCACCCCAGCTCCTGGTGCATATAATGAATCTCGAACTGCTTTCAAGCCCTTGAAGAAAACACCAGGACTGAAAAATACCTCATTTGGTCAAAGTGCTACTCAATTCACACAAGACTCTAGGACAGAGAAAATTCCAGGTTAGCAATGAATTCATATGTATCTACTCTTTAGCTTTATGCAACTTAATATTCTTCAAATGGTTGCACCAGAAAGTAGGGAGGAAAGTACAATTTTCTGTTCTATGGGTGGTGTTGTCATTTTAAGTCAACATTTTTTTAAGCATTGACTCTACACTAAACACAGATAAAAATAATGTACAGTTTTAGTAAGATTTTAATTTAACTTGTCACATCTCTTAGTTGTAATTTTCTATTGTTTTCCTTTTTTCAATAAATTTCCTAATTTTCCCTTGGTAGGTGAACATATATGTAAATTATGTGGTCACTGCCAGTAATATAACTTATGATATTCAGTTTTGTTAAAATTTTATTTTGGAGATGTCCAATCACATGTTCTAGTATTCTCAGTGGGTATTCCAGTATACAGTGGATAATCTAAAACTATAACACAAAAATAACATATAATGACTAACACATTGCTGATGTATAACAAACTCAGTGGCTTAAAAAAACAGACTTTTTCCATCATATCCCATTAATCTGTGGGACTGCTAAAAGGCAGAGTTCAGATGGGACTGTTACTCAGAGTGCATGCATAGCTCAAGCATTGCTACCCCAGGGTAGTTGGTCTTTTCACCTGGTAGCTCAGGGCTCCATGAGACCTGGCAGGAAGCTGCAAGGCTTCTTATGACCTACCCTCAGAAATTCCAGGACATCACTTTCTGTTAGTCAATCAAGTGGCACAGGGTAGCCTATATTGAAAAGAAGGACATGAAACTTCATCTTTCAATGACAGGGGTAGCAAGGAATTTGTGGCCATCTTTAATCTGCTATAGATTACCCTCTGGCTACAAAATATTTTCATTTTTCCTACATGCCTTCTCAAGGCCTCCAAAGTCTCAGGCAACTATGGTATAATCTTAAAGACAAGGATCTTGTTATCTAAGTCAGGTGTAGGTGCAGGTGGGGATTCTTGGGTGTGGTCCTTCAGATCATCTTGTATATCTCCCTTCTCTATCAGAAGAGCTGTGAAGTACAGATACAAGTTATCTCACCCATATATTCAACACATAGTGGTGGGAGAGAGATAGGATAATAATACTAGAAACTCCTATCCAAAAAAGAGAGAAAACTGGAGGCCCACAATATTACCAAATCAAACTTGGGTCCACTTGCCCGTGTGCAGTAGAGCCAATCTACTGACACAGTGTTGTGGTGAAGAAAAGTGCAGCATTTACTGCAGGGCACCAAGCAAGGAGTCCAGGTAGCTAGTGCTCAAAAGGCCCAAACTCCCCAATGGCTTTCAGGGAAAGGTTTTTAAAGACAGGGTGAGGGAGGGGAATTGTGGGGTGCGTGATCAGCTCATGGACATTCTTCTGATGGGTTAGTTGTGAGGTAATCGGGAGTCAACATCACCAACCTTCTGTTTCCAGCTGCTCTGGGGTCTACCTGTTTGTGGGCAGCATACAGTTAACTTCTTCCACCTGGTGGAGGTTTCAGTATCTGCAAAACAGCTCAAAGGACATGGCTTAGAATGTTATCTATAGCCTTTGAGGAGGAACTAAAAGTGCTTGACTTTGTTTAATGGCTAAAGTATTATTATTTTGTCTTGCTTGACTGTTTTCCTTTCTTTCTGCATTTTCTCCCTTCTCTGATTAAATTTATTCTTTGGAACTTGTGGAGGGCCTAGGAGGCTAGTTTTCTACAGATAAGAGACAGGCAGAGGGCATTGGGTGAGGGTATCTGTCCTGAGAAGGCCCCATGGGGTCCTGCTCAGTGACAATAGAAGTCACAGGCCTATAGCAATTCTGAAGTCCAAGGTGGCATATGTTGCCATTTTCTTAGTTAGGGCTCAGTTGGGCTCCCTGGGAGTAAGATTTCCTGTGGTGCTTTGTTTTACCTTTTAGGCTCTTGGTTTCATCCTTTGAAACATCCTTCCTCTTCTATAAGAAATAGGCTGTGTTTTCAGCTTTCTCAACCTGCTTCCTGCCCAGGGAGATCCGGGATCTATGAGCCACTTTTCATTTTGCACTGTTGTTGTTTGTTTCATTCCAGGTTGGTTCATTCCTTATTAAAACTTTGTAGGTTTATTATTTTAATTTATAATCAAATACACTGGACAAAAGCCAAGCTCACATGTACTTCTTAGAAAAACCTTTGTCTACTTTGGGTCACCTTTAGTGTTGCTGTGTTTCTGTACTCTTAGATTCTTAGGAGCACTATTGCACTATTGTTTTAGCTTAGAGGGTCTATGACATATGGCCTTAAAATTCCTAGATGTTCTTTTCTGTAACTGAGCGATTCTATGAGATACCATCTTAAATCTTTTTGAGGTCTTAACAAAGGTCTTACAGCTAAACCCTGGATTTGGTCTCGGGGCGTTTCTTGCTTTGAGAGCTTTTTGCTGTGTGGAGAGACTGGGGATGAAAAACAATTTACTTTCAAACTCAGAAAATACTGGTTTCATTTTATTTCCTATAAATTCTCCTTGAAAACTGAGCAGTTTTAGCTTATCTCTTTCTAACTATACCTTCTCACACACAGCTAAAAGCAACTAGTTGGCACTTTTGATATTTAACCTAGACATTTCCTGAGCTAGAATCCACTATTTTATTAGGTGTTTTCTTCACTATTCCAAGTATTAGTTTTGCCAAAATTTCTGCCATTACAGAATACAAATTATCTTTTCTCCAACCTCCATAACATTTTTATCACTCTCTTTAAGCCATTACCAACTGTCTCCTCAAGGCCATTTCTCTAAGTCTTGAGTTGTTTCAGCTTCTGGCCCATTGCCTGATCCCAAACCATTGCTCCAAGTTTTGACACGGTAATTTTTCCTTATAGTAATGCTGTACTCATGGTATAAAATTATTTACTATTTATGCCATTGAGAGGTTGAGTATTATTCTTCTACATCTTCAATCTTGGCTAGTCTGGTGGCTTTCTTCTCCAATAGCATGCAGTGGAAGTGATATTCTAGCACTTCTCAGGCAAATTCATAAGCTTAACAGCATATACCTGGGCCTATAGAAACAATTGATTTTGGAGACCTGAGCTTCTAGATAGAAATCTGGCTAGTTTAAGACTGCCATTCTGGAGAGGTCTTATATAGGTGCTAGGCACTACCCCAGATGAGCCTAGCTCAGTAGTGTTTATCATGAATCTGAAATACAAATTATTTCAAAATATCAATTTATTCAGTGACCCAACTGCCTTAAGTTTGGGCCTTGTTTTCAATTTGATGGTCTAATGTATTACAAATAAAGTTTTATAAATTCCCCAAAGGTTATTTTATTTTTAAAGGATAAAGTTTAATTATGATGACCTCTAAAATCTAATCCTGATCTTACATATTTTAAGAATTAGTGAGAATGGCCTTCTTGTGTTTTCTTTTTCCCGTGTAGGTATTAGTGTACAGTAATGACTTAGACTCACAAATCAGTCATAGAACAGATTCAACCACCTAATATATGGCTCAGAGCTGTGGCAGGTTACTGTTCGTAGGCATCCTAAGCTGTCTAACTCTGGGGTTCCTGGGCATTGCTACACTTAATAACTGGAAAACGAACACAAAAAACCTCTAATGTAAGTGAATTATAACGATCAGGGTGGCTTTTCAAATCAGAACCTTAACAAGGTAGTACCTGAAATGTGCACACCTTGAGGTCCCTATATTTAAGTACTTAAGCTCACTTGTCACAATGTTATGTTGTCCTCTCATGCCGGAAGAGAGGCAAATCTAAGATATTTGTATTTTAAGTCCCTTAAATGGTGGCCCAAATAGTTTTCATTATGCTCTCTATTTATATTTTTCCCAAGCATTATCAGTGGAGGAATGTTGGAAGACGTCAGAAATAAGATGTATTATTGGCATTTAGGTTTTCTGAGAGTTGGGATGACAGACTTTTGGGGAATAGACTTTAGAACTAGAATATTTGAAAAACTGGGAAGAATTTGTGGGCAGCTTCTTTGAGAAAAACCTTACATGTATCAGGAGTACAGAGGATTTGACTGCGTAGAATGACTTGATCACTTTTAAACCAGAAGGAACCTAAAGTATCATCTAGCCTCATGCCCACTTGTTTGTTACCTGCCTGCAGTGAGAAGGGAGATTGCACCAGAATGTAAATCCACACAATGCTTCCTTCATGGAGAAAGACTAGTTATAAAATGTTTAGTGAGTCAATTTACATTTAGTTGTAAGCTCCTTTTATTGTAGACTGTTCTTGGACGGGCAGCAGTTCACAGATCACATTTTGAGTAGCACTGATCTAGTCAATTCCTATTATCTGCAGACAGGAACTTGAAGCCCAGAAAAACAAATGAGATTTAAGTGATGGTTCATACCTATTTAGTTGCAGATCTAATTTAGTAGATTCCAGATAACATGAGTACAACCAAATCAGGTGTTCTTTCAAGTATTTGATATTGCATTTTATGAATATTGCTGCTCACTGGAACTGATTTCTTGAAAATACTGAACTATAAAACATGTATAAATATTTGTTTCAAATATTTGAATGTCTTGATAAAAACTTTTATCAATGGCAAAGAAAGTTGTTTGTATTATTTTGAATGAATAAAAAGAAATGTTATTCACTCAGATTGTCACTGTAGAAAATATTCCTGGTTATAAATGTACACTAAAGGGTAAAAGGCAAAAATTAAAATAACTAAATACTATGATAGGAAGATTGGGTGATAGCTGATTTTTTTCTGTTCCAAATTGATTTTTAATGTTGTTACATCAAGATTTCAATACTTTTTGGCATCAAGAATTTCCCTCCTGCCCTCCTCCCTCCCTCCCTCCCTCCCTTCCTTCCTTCCTTCCTTCTTTACTGAATATAATTTACACAATAGAAATAATTTTAAGTGTACATTTTGATGAGTGTTGGTAAATGTACATAGATAATCACCACTATTTAATCAAGTTTTAGAACACTTCCATCATTCTTAAAACGTTCTCTCAGGACTTCCCTGGTGGTGCAGTGGTAAAGAATCCACCTGCCAATGCAGGGGATGTGGGTTTGAGCCCTGGTCCGGGAATATCCCACATGCCGCGGAGCAGCTAAGCCCTTGTGCCACAACTACTGAGCCTGCGCTCTAGAGCCCATGAGCCACAACTACTGAGCCTGCATGCCACAACTACTGAAGCCCCCATGCCTAGAGCCTGTGCTCTGCAGCAGGAGAAGCCACTACAATGAGAAGCCTGTGTACCGCGACCAAGAGTAGCTCCCACTCGCCACAACTAGAGAAAGCACGCAAGTGGCAGCAAAGACTGAACGCAGCCAAAAATAAAAATAAAAATAATAAATTTATTAAAAAATAAAATAAAATGTCATCGCCATACCCAAGGTCATCTAGGTTTCAAAAAAAAAAAAGTTCCTCATGACCTTCTGCAGTTAATCTCTACCCCCACTCTTGGCCCTAAGTAACTGTCAGTGTTTCTATGATTTTGCATTTTCTGGAATTTTATATAAATGGAATTACACATTATTTAGGATTTTGTGTTTGTCATCTTTCACTTAGCATGATGTTTTTGAGGTTCATTCATGTTGTTGCATTTATTTTTTCTTTTTATTATTGAGTATTATTCCATTGTTTGGGTGTAGCACATTTTGTTTATCTGTTCACCAGCTAATGGACATTTGGGTTGTTTTTATTTCTCTTGCGGAAATAACTAGGAGTAGGATTTCTGGGTCATATGGTAAGTATATGTTTAACTTTATAAGAATTTGACAAATTGTTTTTCAGAATGGCAAAGCACTTTGCATTCCTGCCAGCAATACATGAGAATTCTTTCTAAAAAATTACTTCATTTATAGTTACTCAGTTTATAAATAAGCCATAAAAAACAATGAAATTTTGCCATTTGCATCAATATGGATGACTTTTGGATGTCATCCATATGATCCATTTGCATCATCCATATTGATCCATTTGCATCAATATGGATGGACTTTGAGGGTATTTTGATAAGTGAAATAAGTCAAACAGAGAAAGACAAATTGTGTGATATCACTTATATATGGAATCTACAAAATACAACAAACTAGTGAATAAACAAAAAGAAGCAGACTCACAGATATAGAGAACAAACTAGTGGTTACCAGGGAGGAGGGGGAAGCGGGGAAGAGAAATACAAGGGCGGGGAAAAGTAAAAGGGTTATTTTGGGATTATATGAAATCATGGGTGTAAAACTTTTGAAAATGATAAAGCACTATAGAAGTTAAAGGATCTTTCATTCAATAAATAAAGTAAAATAAATAATAAAGTTACTCAGTTTAAAAGAATTAAAAGTGTTTCTTACATATGATATTCTTCATAATTCTAGGTCCTGGGTTTTATAATATCCAAAACAATACTTTAATTGACAACTTTAGCAATACCTGCTTGAAGAAACAAAAGAAAAGTGCATTTGGTTCTTCTGTTCCTCAGTCTCTCTTCCTGGTTCAGAAAGTTTTTCCTACTCCTGGGCCTGCTGGCTATAAGGTAATATGTGGATACCAAAATTATATTACTTATATCTATTACCAAGAATTTAGGGTTTACAGGATTACATGTGATATATATACCTCATTATTATAAACCATACTATTATTATTGAAATTATTTACATATGGTCATTTATGGCATAAGAACAAAAATTAATTTGGTTCACAGCTATGTTTGTAATTTCTTTTTTAAAAGTAGATCTTATTCTTTATCTCTTTGGAGATCTCACATATAGTTCTTTAAATATTTATCTTCATTTTATGATTGGGCCACTATATTCTGAAAGTAAATTTAGGCTTCCTTTAATTTAGGGCTTCTTTAAATGCTCTCTGCAGTTTTATAATTTTTATGTTGACGTCTTACACATCTTTATTAGATTTATCCCTCAGTATTTGATGTGCTTTTTTTTTTTGTACATGAGTGTTCATAGCTTTATTCATATAGTTCATATAAAGTTCATAAAACTTTATTTGTAATAATAGAGCTGAAAACAACCCAAATGTCCATTAATCAATGAATGGATAAACAAACTGTGATATACTCATATTTAACAAGAATTAGTACATCCAGCCCTCTCAGAATAATTAGGAGGAATGAAATAAACTGACAAAAAAGAGTGGATAGTACATTATTCAATTTTTTTTTAACATCTTTATTGGGGTATAATTGCTTTACAATGGTATGTTAGTTTCTGCTTTATAACAAAGTGAATCAGTTATACATATGTTCCCATATCTCTTCCCTCTTGTGTCTCCCTCCCTCCCTCCCACCCTCCCTATCCCGCCCCTCCAGGCTGTCACAAAGCACCGAGATGATCTCCCTGTCCTGTGCGGCTGCTTCCCACTAGCTATCTACCTTATGTTTGGTAGTGTATATATGTTCATGCCTCTCTCTCGCTTTGTCACAACTCACCCTTCCCCCTTCCCATATCCTCAAGTCCGTTCTCTAGTAGGTCTGTGTCTTTATTCCTGTCTTACCCCTAGGTTCTTCATGACATTTTTTTCCCTTAAATTCCATATATATGTGTTAGCATACGGTACTTGTCTTTCTCTTTCTGACTTACTTCACTCTGTATGACAGACTCTAGGTCTATCCACCTCATTACAAATAGCTCAATTTCGTTTCTTTTTATGGCTGAGTAATATTCCGTTGTATATATGTGCCACATCTTCTTTATCCATTCATCCAATGATGGGCACTTAGGTTGTTTCCATCTCCGGGCTATTGTAAATAGAGCTGCAATGAACATTTTGGTACATGACTCCTTTTGAATTATGATTTTCTCAGGGTATATGCCCAGTCGTGGGATTGCTGGGTCATATGGAAGTTCTATTTGTAGTTTTTTAAGGAACATCCATACTGTTCTCCATAGTGGCTGTACCAATTCACATTCCCACCGGCAGTGCAAGAGTGTTCCCTTTTTTCCGCACCCTCTCCAGCATTTATTGTTTCTAGATTTTTTGATGATGGCCATTCTGACTGGTGTGAGATGATATCTCATCGTAGTTTTGATTTGCATTTCTCTAATGATTAATGATGTTGAGCATTCTTTCAAGTGTTTGTTGGCAGTCTGTATATCTTCTTTGGAGAAATGTCTATTTAGGTCTTCTGCCCAATTTTGGATTGGGTTTTTTGTTTTTTTGTTATTGAGCTGCATGAGCTGCTTGTAAATTTCGGAAATTAATCCTTTGTCAGTTGCTTCATTTGCAAATATTTTCTCCCATTCTGTGGGTTGTCTTTTGGTCTGGTTTATGGTTTCCTTTCCTGTGCAAAGGCTTTGAAGTTTCATTAGATCACATTTGTTTATTTTTTTTTTATTTCCATTTCTCTAGGAGGTGGGTCAAAAAGGATCTTGCTGTGATTTATGTCATAGAGTGTTCTGCCTATGTTTTCCTCTAAGAGTTTCATAGTTTCTGTCCTTACATTTAGGTCCTTAATCCATTTTGAGCTTATTTTTGTGTATGGTGTTAGGGAGTGATCTAATCTCATACTTTTACATGTACCTGTCCAGTTTTCCCAGGACCACTTATTGAAGAGGCTGTCCTTTCTCCACTGTACATTCCTGTCTCCTTTATCAAAGATAAGGTGACCATATGTGCATGGGTTTATCTCTGGGCTTTCTACTCTGTTCCATTGATCTATCTTTCTGTTTTTGTGTCAGTACCATACTGTCTTGATTACTGTAGCTTTGTAGTATAGGCTGAAGTCAGGGAGCCTGATTCCTCCAGCTCCGTTTTTTGTTCTCAAGATTGCTTTGGCTATTCGGCGTCTTTTGTGTTTCCATACAAATATTGAAATTTTTTCTTCTAGTTCTGTGAAAAAACTAGTTCTAGTTTGATAGCGATTGCATTGAATCTGTAGATTGCTTTGGGTAGTAGAGTCACTTTCACAATGTTGATTCTTCCAATCCAATAACATGGTATATCTCTCCATCTATTTGTATCATCTCTAATTTCTTTCAGCAGTGTCTTATAATTTTCTGCATACAGGTCTTTTGTCTCCTTAGGTAGGTTTATTCCTAGATATTTTATTCTTTTTGTTGCAGTGGTAAATGGGAGTGTTTTCTTGATTTCACTTTCAGGGTTTTCATCATTAGTGTATAGGAATGCCAGAGATTTCTATGCATTAATTTTGTATCCTGCAACTTTACCACATTCATTGATTAGCTCTAGTAGTTTTCTCGTAGCATCTTTAGGATGCTCTATGTATAGTATCATGTCATCTGCAAACAGTGACAGCTTTACTTCTTCTTTTCCGATTTGGATTCCTTTTATTTCCTTTTCTTCTCTGGTTGCTGTGGCTAAAACTTCCAAAACTATGTTGAATAAGAGTGGTGAGAGTGGGCAACTTTGTCTTGTTCCTGATCTTAGTGGAAATGCTTTCAGTTTTTCATCATTGACGATGATGTTGGCTGTGGGTTTGTCCTATATGGCCTTTATTATGTTGAGGAAAGTTCCCTCTATGCCTACTTTCTGCCGGGTTTTTATCATAAATGGGTGTTGAATTTTGTCAAAAGCTTTCCCTGCATCTATTGAGATGATCATATGGTTTTTCTCCAGTTTGTTAATATGGTGTATCACATTGATTGATTTGTGTATATTGAAGAATCCTTGCATTCCTGGAATAAACCCCACTTGATCATGGTGTATGATCCTTTTAATGTGGTGTTGGATTCTGTTTGCTAGTATTTTGTTGAGGATTTTTGCATCTATGTTCATCAGTGATATTGGCCTGTAGTTTTCTTTCTTTGTGACATCCTTGTCTGGTTTTGGTATCAGGGTGATGGTGGCCTTGTAGAATGAATTTGGGAGTGTTCTGCCCTCTACTATATTTTGGAAGAGTTTGAGAAGGATAGGTGTTAGCTCTTCTCTAAATGTTTGATAGAATTCGCCTGTGAAGCCATCTGGTCCTGGGGTTTTGTTTGTTGGAAGATTTTTAATCACAGTTTCAATTTCAGTGCTTGTGGTTGGTCTGTTCATACTTTCTATTTCTTCCTGATTCAGTCGTGGCAGTTTGTGCATTTCTAAGAATTTGTCCATTTCTTCCAGGGTGTCCATTTTATTGGCATAGAGTTGCTTGTAGTAATCTCTCATGATCTTTTGTATTTCTGCAGTGTCAGTTGTTACTTCTCCTTTTTCATTTCTAATTCTATTGATTTGAGTCTTCTCCCTTTTTTTCTTGATGAGTCTGGCTAATGGTTTGTCAATATTGTTTATCTTCTCAAAGAACCAGCTTTTAGTTTTATTGATCTTTACTATCGTTTCCTTCATTTCTTTTTCATTTTTTTCTGATCTGATTTTTATGATTTCTTTCCTTCTGCTAACTTTGGGGTTTTTTTGTTCTTCTTTCTCTAATTGCTTTAGGTGCAAGTTTAGGTCGTTTATTCGAGATGTTTCCAGTTTCTTAAGGTGGGCTTGTATTGCTATAAACTTCCCTCTTAGAACTGCTTTTGCTGCATCCCATAGGTTTTGGGTCATCAAGTCTCCATTGTCATTTGTTTCTAGGTATTTTTTTTTATTTCCTCTTTGATTTCTTCAGTGACCACTTCGTTATTAAGTAGTGTATTGTTTAGCCTCCATGTGTTTGTATTTTTTACAGATCTTTTCCTGTAATTGATATCTAGTCTCACAGCATTGTGGTTGGAAAAGATACTTGATACAATTTCAATTTTCTTAAATTTAACAAGGCTTGATTTGTGACTCAAGATATGATCTATCCTGGAGAATGTTCCATGAGCCCTTGAGTAAAATGTGTATTCTGTTGTTTTTGGATGGAGTGTCCTATAAATATCAATTAAGTCCATCTTGTTTAATGTATCATTTAAAGCTTGTGTTTCCTTATTTTTTTTCATTTTGAGTGATCTATCCATTGGTGAAAGTGGGGTGTTAAAGTCCCGTACTATGAGTATATTACTGTCGATTTTCCCTTTTATGGCTGTTAGTATTTGCCTTATGTATTGACGTGCTCCTATGTTGGGTGCATAAATATTTACAATTGCTATATCTTCTTCTTGGATCGATCCCTTGATCATTATGTAGTGTCCTTCTTTGTCTCTTCTAATAGTCTTTATTTTAAAGTCTATTTTGTCTGATATGAGAATTGCTACTCCACCTTTCTTTTGATTTCCATTTGCATGGAATATCTTTTTCCATCCCCTTACTTTCAGTCTGTATGTGTCTCTAGGTCTGAAATGGGTCTCTTGTAGACAGCATATATATGGGTCTTGTTTTTGCATCCATTCAGCCAATCTGTGTCTTTTGGTGGGAGCATTTAGTCCATTTACATTTAAGGTAATTATCAATATGTATGTTCCTATTCCCATTTTCTAAATTGTTTTGGGTTCATTATTGTAGGTCTTTTCCTCCTCTTGTGTTTCTTGCCTAGAGAAGTTCCTTTAGCATTTGTTGTAAAGCTGCTTTGGTGGTGCTGAACTCTCGCAGCTTTTGCTTGTCTGTAAAGTTTTAATTTCTCCATTAAATCTGAATGAGATCCTTGCT